ACAATTGAACAATTGAACTCTTGACTTTCCGACATCTTGACATTTCGACTCATCGGCCTCTTGAACCATTAACTTAACAACTTACTGACCCTCCGAAGCACTCCTATTATTTACAGATACAAAGTCAGCCTCGCAGAATACGTCGGAGTTATGTGATATGATGGATAAGAATTATGGTAGGACGGTTAGTGCGAAGACGAATATGGATTGAAAATTCTGGTAGTGAGCGAATGTATTTAAACTATCGGAGGATAAATCAATATCTACAGATACTGTTGGATTACTACGGGGTAATTTCCCGATCGATCGTAATGATTCAGTAAAGAGTTGTACGATTCTGCTTTTTTGTTTTATTAAAGTCCTAAGCTAAAGCTCTAGGTCCATTATCGGTACAAGACTGGTGGAGCCGGCGGGGATCACTGCTTACAGGCCCAACTCATTCCAACCGCGAGACCCGCTACAGAAAATGTAGAAGGTAAATTATAACTCAAAAGACACCACCTACTCCGACTCCGAAATCGAAGCTCCATCCTTCAACCCTAAATCCAAGTACAGAAAAATTTCCTCAGAGAAACGACACTTCTCGCCTCGTTCCCTTTCGTGTCATGCGTTGTGGCAATGGCTAGTTGATCTGATCCCCGCTGAGAGCAGTGGATGAGTGGGCTGGCTGGCTATCAAAACAGCCGGTTTCCTCCGCAAATATTTTGAAGCTATCGTGGCACTTTGGGCCCGAGAAGCTTTTTGATAGAGTCAGCGTGGGTCATTGACTTTCTGAGCCTACGCGTTTGTTGTGCGTGACGGCTACAGTGGATGAAGTGGGTTGGAGTAGTTTCCTTCCGCGAGATCACTCCATAGGAGCGTGTGGATTATTAAAACGGCGATGGTATGCCGCAAAATTGCCGTGACCTGTTCGTGCTGCGGTTAGTGCCCGGAGGAGGTGCCTAGAAAGAGACAGTTCGGGTGGTTTGCGTCTCCGCACCTGTAGGTTGAGTTGGCGGTATTTAGGCGGACAGGCCTCTTCCCACCAACTGTCCAGCAATCTCTGCCGTCTGCGATTCATGAGGCCTCGAAGATGTGCTAGAGTACTGTATCCTGGTTGCGTATCCAGGCTAGGCAATTCTCGAAGTGCTGCACGGGCCATGGCGTCTGCCTCTTCATTTCCTTGGATTCCTGCATGCCCTGGAACCCACTTCACTAATATTTCAGCCTTATTAGATAACGCACGGAGTTTGCGTACATCTTCTAGGCTAGTTGAGGACGAGCCTGTCGTTAATGCGCTTACAGCCTGCTGGCTGTCTAGAAACACGTTTATCTGCCACATACCACCACCTTTCATGAACTGCTCGTCCTCCGTGAATTCCATTGCGGCCTCCAGAGCCTTCCTTGCTCCAATTATCTCTGCATCCAGCACCTCTCCCCCGTGCTTGATGCCACTTCCTTTGCCGATGAGTTTCCCATCCTTCCTCAGAACGAAACTCCAGGCGGGGCATCCATGTCCTTCTGATGAACCATCCGAGTATGCGCAAATGTCCGTTTCTGGCACGTCGCTAATCCGTCTAACGCAATATTCACGTTCCATCGGCTTTGAGCCTGATTTCCTAGGGTAAACTGTTGGAAATATCGCGCAACGTACTGGGCGCAATATTCATGGAACGAAAGTAGAAGTTGACTAAAAAGAGTGTCATGTTCGGATTACAGCTAAAAGTGTGGGAAGTGTGCGCTACAAGTACAAGTGTAAGCGACACAGAGCCTAAGCCACAGCATAAACGAGTGTGGCGCCATCTAGGCATAGGAAACCCCCAATAACCTCCTTGCGCCCACGCCATACAGCCACTCATATGCCCATTAGGTAGCCTGAAGCGCTACCATATTACCTACTCCAACCTCTTAAATACACACGAGATCGTGTCGGGAACCTAGACAAACTGGAGGGCCCATACATCCACAACACTCCGTGTCTCCATTTCCAACATAAACCACCGGCATCGGACTTTCAGGGGCTTCTGCTTCCGGAAGCTCTCGGTAGGCACGCTGTAATCGTGACATCTGAATTTCCGGTCTGCCTGAGGACTTGGCAGACTTTTTGTATTTTCGGGTGCCGACATTCGGGCACACGGAAGCGCGGATCCTCAAAGGATGTCGATCGTCAAGGGTCTTAAGCCTTGCCGAAAGCCGGAGACGGTTTCCCTCAAGTATGACCTTTGCCGGCGGGATTCCCCCTTCTCTGTGAAGGACTACATTTGATGTTGTCCTCATTACTGGAAGTGCAGCCCGCAATCCCATCAGGTTCGCTCTGTCAATCATGCCGCAGAGGTTGGAGGTTGAGGACGTTCCTTTCAACCGCAAATTTATAAACTTTCCCCCCGAATTCGTTAGCTCCCCCTTCAATCAGACTAACGTTATGAGAAATTAAAGAGAGAAGGCAACCCTCACTTGGTGTTGGTCTTCGAAGTGTTCGAAGAGATGGCCTCGATGGTGGTGCTGTTGTCGAGGCGATAGTTGGTGCCGCTGGGGCTTCGACTACCTTGCATGGTCGTCCTGGCCCTCTTTTTAGTCCTTCAGCCTTCTTACTGACGACCATTGAAAATCTTTGATCACCAGTCTTTCCGACTGTTCGGTTTGGCTACGTCGTGGGTTTCTCATTCCATATTTCTGCCGTTCTCGATAGCAGTTACTTCTGAGCCTTCCCCAAATTTCCCTTGTATACTTGTATACTTGGTAAGCCCGACACGCTACTTTTTGCCACGAACGGTGCTCCTTGTCGCAGTTTGCACAAGAGATTCTTTTCCTCTGACAGTCACGAGTTTGGTGAGCGCCAGCACACTCACCGCACCTGTGGAAACTCGAGGGACAAAAGACGATTGGCGAGTGGTCAAAAGCTGGCGTGGACTCAAATCATAAGATTCTAAACTAAAGAGAAAAGTATCTAGGAGGATATGAATCTGTATATGTACATAGGAGGTTCAACTGTTTAAATAACGTTGCCAACACGAAACCTCCTGTCCCTCATTACCTACAACCCAAGGGTTTCACATGAAAACCAATATCCATGACAAACCTTTCGTATCGTAATTTGTCACACACAAGACTTGTGTGTTTGAAACTAGTCGTTGGAATTCCTGGATTGACCCTGTGTCGGCTTACCAACTATTGGACCGACGACCACGTGGCCACTAGAATGTCGGGGCGTCACAGCACCTGGCAGCCTTTCCACACGACGTCTGCGTTTGTTCCCACTAGCTGTAGTTAAAGTATTGCTTTAGTTGGGCCCATGGTGACCACACTTACGCAGTGAAGAGCATAATGTTGATGATAAGGCTGTTTCGAACCATTTTCGTTTGCATCGCCTCCGTAGGGAGGCTGACCAAAATTGAAACCCTATTGCGGCCATTTTTCTTTGACCGCTGATGCTCCTTTCTAGTGTGTAGTCATATTGTTCTCTTAATTTCCAGGCATGGAATCCGAGCCCTATTCGCTGTCTTAATCTCCCTAATAATTGCGCAGTTATTGGCATCTCTACCGCCTTCGATTCTTGTCGGTAAAAGGATCATATTTGGGTAGTGTGAATTGTTCTATGTATTTGCGGTATTCAGGTTGTCGTTAGGACACTGGCAGGGGTCTGATTTAGCTCATTAACGAGGCGCTTGGAGTAGAAGGAAGGAGAGATGGAGAGGAACAAAAGGGGAGACAACGTTTTATGTATTTCGAGATACCAGTTAATTGAGTTTATTCACCGACTTCGTGACGGACTGCTGACTTCGTGACGGCACCCAATTTGTATTACTTCGTGTTTTACCAACAATTCTTGTTCGCAATGGAATACCGAAAATAGCTACGGGAAAGTCTTCACGCAATATTTGAGAGTCAGTTAGTTGTCGCATGGTACGCGGCGCGTCTCTCTAAGACGCCGACTAGACAAACAACTCGATGTCGTTGCTTCGCATCTGGCGAATTGCGAATGTTCCTTGAATGTGTTGTTTTGCCTTTAATAGCAGCTCTTCAGGCTGCAATTTATCTGCTCCGTCGATTCTTATACGTACCGCCGTCTTCGTCATTTCTGGAGCTTCGACCGACGCGTAGGTCCTTGGTTGCGGCATCCTCGTTGCCACTCCTGGTGCAGCATTATGAACGGGATCCGCGAGGCTCTTATTTACAGCCTCCTCGAGCGCCATCATTTTCTCCTTGATTGGAGATGGGATCTGTGACATTGCTGTCCAGGCCTTCTTGTGACAATTAAAAGCCTTCACGGCATCGTTGACACCCTCTATGGATGGTAAGTCCTCTATATCCGTCTCGCCCACCACGATTAGTCTGACCTTTTTCTGTAGTTTCCCTGTAGTTTCAAGGTTTTTATCCTTTGTAGCTGTCTACGCTCCACTGCCGTTAGTTGTGGTCGCCATTGTCGCTTTTTACGAAGCATGGAAACCGCTGGATTTACCCACACCAGCACCCACACTCGCCATTTTGAAGCACAGAAGGCGAAGGGACGGGATAAGGATAAAGAATATAAAAAATAAGATTCACGTTGTCAAATTGATAATAATCGCAGTGTGGAAGGCTGCGATGTTTTCTGGCAAAAATGATGTTTTTTAGCCATGTATACCATTGGATCTTATAATTTGTTAGAATGTAGCGTAATTGGGGCTATCAAGTAGGCCACGTTGTTGATACACACGTGACTGCAAATTCTGTACTTAGTTTCACTTCGGTAGTTACTTGAATCAATGCGCTCCACAACCTCAATGACTGAGGGGTCATTATTTCCTTAATATTTTTCAATATCTTTGATGATCAAAAATTAGACGATAACCTAGCATGTCTAGCTTATTTTTAGTTATTGATATCAAGTATAACTTAATCAGTTTTTACAGGTTTTTGACCGACTAAGATCTATAAATCTGATGTGGTTTTAGAACGAAAATAATTAATTATGTGCTGTGACCTAGATGAATAATGGCGGTTTTATTTGCTACCATATTGAATACTGCAATAAACATTTATCAACTGAACCTGTCGCCTTTTAATGAACGAAACTGATGTTTGGGCTCTATTTTGCTGGTTTCCTCAGCATCTTTCTGACCAGTGGTTGTATCTTGACCTTGGAGAGCAGGATCGATTGAGGGTTTTTGACTGGAATTACCATCGAATAGAGCAGTCCTTGACGGTGAGTTGCCAAAGGAATTTTGAAGACGTTTACGCTTTTGTTCTGCTTCGAATCTTTCCATTTTTTCGGCATTGATTGACTTTTTAGCAAAGTAATATGCACCTCCACCAGCTGTCAAATCATAAGTAAAACGCTCGCGTGAGTTTTGTGGCGGAAATATTTACCGACACATAGAGCTCCCCATCCAACCCTATATTGTCATGGTCAACCCATATCAAATTTGAGCAAATCACACTGTAAAACTTACCAAAATGACTTGATCTAGAAAATGTCAGCTTGTTACTTGATTTTGGGCGGGGTTAGTCTCACGGTATTCATCGCTACGAATTTAACTTCTAATTATCGATCAATACACAATATTTGGTATTACCAGCATTAATGGAGTGCTTAATCCGCGTTAACGAGAAGGTCGTCCACTGACCTGATGTCATAGTAAAGGGCACTATGGTTACCCTAGTGTGGCTTACTAATCTTAGCTTTGATATTGAGGAATTATAAAGCCACGTGATTTACGTTAAACCTTTCGCTGACAAATTTTGATTTAATTTGATTTTGTAAGCAGACGAAAGTCTACTATACTGGGGTACAGTTCGTAGGTAAGATGCAGATCAACAACAGGGATATGGAACTTACTAATTGCGCACATGAGGGCATTGAAGAAGAGACTAGAATAACCTCATGCACTTGTTGGAAGTGACAAGGGATCACAGAGAGGGGTATTAAAATCAGACTCTCGTAGTAGAATAGAAGAATGAAGGAGTGAGTTCTTTTGATGATTAATTGCCTTCTCGATCTGGCTCAATTACATACGATCTCGTGACTTTCACATAATTTTGCTGTGAATTCTTACAGATTTCATTTGATTTCATTTCGTGTGTGACGGCTGTCAAGCCTAAGGGTTCCTGTAGCCTACGTTGTCTAGCGCAGGCAATTATACGAAGGGAGGTTCCTGGGAAGATCTTGGATGACAGGGAACCTAGATGATTCACATTGAGCCTTGGGGGACTATTCTCAACACCTGTCAGCGGTGTCCCCTACGAACCTCCAGCTCTCACTGTAGAGTCTGCAGAGCCGAGATTGAGTGACAAAGTCCTCACTTCGACGAGGATTCCCAATCGCTTTCGCGGTCTGTATCGTCTTCATCTCTCAACACATTCCCCTATCACCATTATCATGAAGCTAACCACGATCAGATCAGATGGTAGGGTCGGAGCCCTACTTATCATCAACCCTTGATCACGGAAAAAAAGCCATCCGATGAGTTTCCGGAGCGTACCCAGCACCCGATACAGAAATGGTGGATTGGATCAAGTCGGCCTCGACTGTTACAAAGAAGGGAGACATAGATGAATATGCGCACCTCATGTGGTCCCTATGTCTAGGCCTCGCCTGGCTGGGGCTGCAGGTTTTTTGAGACTTTTTCCCGCGCACGCAGTTTCCATTGCTACCATTTTTATTTTTTTTGGGTAGAAGGTTCCGTGGAAAAGGTGGCTGAATTCCACGGGTAAATACTGAGCTGAATAGCTATTCATCAAGGGGAATATATCAATGATCTTTCAAGTAACAAAAGAGGATAGGAGCACTGTACAAGGTGTGGCCTGGGTCAGAGAGGAGCCCAATGTGCTAGATAGTCATAGACTCAAGTAGCACAATAAACACAAACACTCACTCACATTGAGCCTTGTTGAAACCTACTGAGAGTTCATGAGGGTTACAGAAGTATCAAGGATCTACAGGCGATTGTCGGAGAGTCTGAGTTGACAGGTCATAGAGAGACCCTTATCGAGGAGGGGTATTTCAGTCTGTATATATAGGTAGTCATTAAGTACAGAAATTCTCTCTTTAGAAAATTATAATTAAAATATTGTACCTACAATATTGCTCATGCATTTTGTATTGAAACCGTGACATCGTGTCAGGCTTACGCCCTACACCCAATAGGCGTAATACGGGTCTGTGCTCCCTCGGGACACACTACAACCTAAATACATATGCTGCAATTGCCGGGGCCACGGAAGGCCTTACTGTAGCACTCCTCAACCCACTGGCTTTCTATGCCTCTAACGTCACCGTTTGCCTTGACAACCAGGAGGCCGCCCCAACACACACAATTTTTTGAAATTCGAATTTTCGAATTTTCATCCTTTCCCCCTCTCCCTCCCTTTCGCGCTCGTCGCATTCTATCAAAAAATTGTGATCGAGTCACTGGCATTTTCACCATGCCACCTGTTCGAAAAAAGCGTCCCAACGCCAAGTTGGACAACACGAGAGTCCACCCGAGGGCTCTCGAGCAATTACCTGGCCTTGCCCAGTCTCCGAAATGCGCGGAGATGAACAAGGGCTCAATCAAATGGAAGGAGAAAGCCCTCCCCGCCGTCTCTGAACCCGATACTGACATGATCGGGTCAGTCGAAATTGTTGAGGAGATTCCTCAACGAGCCTCCGTCCCCCACGGGATTGGAGAATCATCCAAACCACCTCCGACCGTGTCAAAACCATCGGAAAACGCTGCACCCGTGGCGCCAGCTTTCGCCTGCTGGCCTACGGCAACAACTATAGAGTGAGCTAGATTGCTTCTTGAGTGACGCCCGCTCTATATACCGTATTAGAACCGGCTTTGCGATTCTGACAGGGAATGAAAATAAAAGGGAAGAGCTCCTAGATGCCGCACCAAAGTTTTCGGACTTCGGCGCCAAGCTCGAGGAAGCCTCCAACTTTATCGCCTTTCGGATCGCGAATGTTCCGGCGACTGTAAAAACAATCGACTGTACTTATGCGGTCAATGCGGATTGGATCTCATTGGAAATTTACCGAAAAACACAAAAGCTTCCATACAAGGTGCTACCGCACGGGACATGCCGTCCTGGAGCGCCGCACAAAAATTGGAAAGCCCTTTTCGACCGGAACAACGCCCCTCGCCAGGGCTTTCGCATTCTCGAAGAGGCTGGTATGGCTACCATTCACAAGCCTCGTCCGCAAATTGAACAGTGCAAACGCTGTTTGGGCTTCCACGCCACCCGTGGTTGCTCCCGCGCTCCAGCTTGCTGGAACTGCGGATCAAATATGCACTCGGAAGCCGAGTGCAAGGCCCTCACAAAGTGTCGCAACTGTGGAGGACCTCACCTATCAGATTCCCGGGCCTGCTAAGTCAGACCCAGCAAGTCCGGACAGGTGACAAAAGAGCAGCTCGCGCGGATCCGCCAGATCCAGCAAGGGGAGTTCGCGAAAGTGGCTCGACTTAGGGCTGCAGCCAAAAGGGCCGAGGAGGCGATCATCGCTGCGGCGAAGGATGTCTCTATGGCCGTGGCAACAGGTTTCGGAGCACTGGGAGCTGAAGAAGAAGTTTGAGGGCACATCAACCTCGACGATGTCCCCATTCGGGACATCTACTAACCAATAGCAGGATACCGGCTGAATCAAAGGTGCCTGCTAACCCATCTTTTGCTCTCAGCGGAGAATGGGCAAATTTGTCATTTGGAAGGTGTGACGGACGACGGAATGTGTGAGGAGCTCATTGCTTGGGTCCAACATGGAGGAATCTTCTGGTTTTCGGAATTGTTTGATTTTCTTGATTTTTCGTTTCAGTTTAATCAGCTGCACTTTTGGAAGCGATTCACGAGGTTGGAACGAGTTAGGCTGTAGGAGAGATTACAGGGAGCCCGGCCGGATCCGCCGGTCCTTGACCCAATGTGTAAAAGATAGCTATAGCTTAGGACCAAAAATAATTAAAAAAAAAAAATCAGATCTATGTGGATCCGGAAACGACTTACAGGGTTATGGGAAGTCGCACAATAACATTACATAATCATAATGATAGATCACTTCAGCATTGAGGGGTAAGGAGGGATTGATGTATATAGGCTTAGAGTTTTTTTGTTTTTTATTTTAAAGTCCTAAGCTAAAGCTCTACAGTCTCTTACGGGTGACAAAGGTAAAATTGTCCAAATGACTGGGGTTAGATCCCTATACATTTTGCCTTATTTGGTATGATTTTCATGAAGGCCCATGTCTAGTTACTCGACTAGTTATGCAAGCAAGGGGCACTATCCAATGACATTCCGTGAAAGTCTAAATTATGGGGATGGTTTTGAACTCAATGGGAAAGGTACAATAGTCCTCAGTTGAAATTCAAAATTGAAAAACGTCAGTTGATAGTCTCTAAAAATGCACATCTATTTCAAAAATTATTGCTCTATATTACAAAAGTCTACATCGAAGCCCTCAGTATGGCTCGCAACTAAAATGAAAGCGTACTACATGTTTTGTGTGTCTTCTCCATCCTAATACTTTGTGTACCCTCCATTTGCCTTTATCACTGCTACACATCTTTCGTGCATGCTGCCAACTAGTGACAATAGCTCCTCTGAAGATATAGAGTCCCATGCATCCTGAAGCAATGTCTTCAACGTGGCAGAGCGCACAAGCCTGACCTCATTTTTCTCTGGACTATTTACCTGAATGTGGTTTTTCAAGATATTCCACAATGACTCAATCGGGTTCAGGTCCGGAGAGTAAGGTGGCCATCTAATGGGCGTTATTTCAACCTCACGCAGCGCCTCAATTGTTGAGTACGCTTTGTGACATGGTGCGTTGTCGTGCATGTATAAAATTTCTGGATTTTCCGAGTGAAATTGATTCAAAATTGGCAAAATCCTTTCACAAAAGGATGAGGCCCTCATTGATCCCCAATCCTTCTCCCAGACTAGGAATGGGCCTTTTTGTGATCCATAAAATGATCCCCAAAACATCCAGCTGTTCCCATGAGCACGGCGAGCCACAATGCAAGTCTCATCAAACTCATCATCAGGCTAAACTCTGCTGTTAGTAAAAGGAAGATTTAGATAGAATTTAAACGTACTTTTCTTGTGACACGAGGTTTCATATGACAATCACCCGATACCCATGTTTCATCAGTCCACAGTATGCGACTCCATTGTTCATCGCTCCAATCTAAATGTAATTGGGCGAACTCCAATCTTTTCTGTTTGTTCACTGCGCTTAACGGAGGCTTCTTCCGAGCAATGCATCTGCTGTAGCCTCTTTTTTTGAGTGCATTAGAAA